ACCACATATACACGGTGCCAAATCCCAGAAGACTGCTTTCTTCATGGTCACCGCCGTGAAAGCCTCAAATCTTACATCAATAAAGTTCTTACAATTGTTCTGTAATACCTGTGTCCTCCGAACGGAACCAGAATAGCTCAGTCAGTATAGCGACGGGCTATCAGATGAACGGCTGGAGTTCGATTTCAAGCAAGGGCAAACGGTTATAATCTTCTCCACAGCGGCCAGACCGACTCTGGGGACCACCCAGCCTCCAAACCAATGAATACTGGGAGCGCATTCCCCAGAAGTAAAGCAGTACGGATGTGAAACTAACCAGTTACCTCCATCTAGTGCTGAGGCTAAGAATGGTGGAACTATACCTCCACTCCCCCATATATCTTAGTAAAGTGGTGCTAAATTAAACACAGGGATAACTTTACCTGTTACATTTACATCTTCCTATTAAAAACAGGTTCAATGCGTGGACAAATACGTATTAATATAAAGAAAATTTTCTTTTATGTCCTGTTTATATAATGTAAACGTCTCTCATGTTACGTATAAACATACCTGTTGACTTAAACCTACTGACAGTGTAATTATAAACAATCATACCACACGCCTTTGACACTAACATTTCCTATTCGAAACGTCATCTTAGACACAGATTCCCAATTTAGGCTGTGTAGATAAATTCACGACTTGCATTCTTCCGTCGGAAGGATTAGACCCCAGGAGATGAACCATTCAGAATTAATATGTAATTATGGTTCTTATATAAAATTGGCAGGAGCCGCAACACAAGGCCTCGGCCTACACAAAACATATCCATCGACAGCCCGAATGCAATTTGAACCCATGATCCCACTGTTCAAGAAGTCTGCTTGTACCGGTTCTCACGGTATCTTGTTTGCGGATTTTCTTATTTTTCCTTCTACCCTCAAGATGGAGGCGATACGTTCCTCCGAAACGTCGGTTAACACCACATATACACGGTGCCACATCCCAGACCACTGCTTTCTTCATAGTCACCGCCGTGAAAACCTCAAATCTTACAAGTCTATGATAGTACGCGCGGCCACAGTAATAGGCGTTCAGAATTTCATACAAAAACTATTTAATGCTAAATTCCGATAAAAAAGAATTTACAAAATCTACGCATATAAGCGATTCATCTTTCGAGAAAAATAAGTGGATTATATGAGTATAAATATATTGATAAAAGCTGTAGAATCTTCTTAGCTAACTTGTGATGCATACATAACCTCACCAAGAGCTATGAATAAACATTAAGGTGTTCCAATTATAGATATATCGTTTACGATTATAAGATTGTGATTAATGGTAATGTCATTAAGTTTTCCTAGTTCGACTTTTCTCTCGAATCATTGTCTTAGAAACTGACTTTGATTTCCTCGAAGTACGTCATAATCTTAAGTAGTAAATAACGTTTAGTCCCATTAGAACGAGATTACAAAATCAGTTTAACCAGTTCGCAAAAAGCGAGACAATATTAATGAAAGTCTACACTCACCACTTGTGCTGGCCTCGCCGGCAGCAAGGAAACACACGCGGTTCAATTGTTTTCACCTCACATCCCCAGTATACACGAATAGAGACACACAGTCTCGCTCGCCCAGCACAGACTGAATCGCACAGCTAACGACACGGATTGGCCACTAGCAGCTACACACCTCAATAAACCGTACGCATGCTTCTGAGACCCCTCCCCACCACCACACTGCTCTGAAGCGTCTGTTATTCTCAAGTTTCGCCTTAGTGATGTGTCTTTGTCAACTTTGTGCGATTGGGCAGCGTTCATACTCTAATGGGAAAATGCTTTTAATCAGCAGTTACGTACAAAAACGCGTGGCTGCATTCAGAACTGAAGTGAATATGGGTCTCCCTGCATCCAGTACTATTCATGACGGTGTAGAGGGGAATGGAGGTGAAGTCTCGCGCTTTCTTACCGAGCAAGATGACACCAGTGGCGAAGTTCCTTAAGTCCGGTTGGAATGATAAATTCCTAGAGGAGGTCATGTTGATCATAGTTCGGTGCACGGTTCGATTCTCGGCCGGGACACTAACAATCCTGAATTACGTATTCCGTGCGTTTCCTCACTCGCTCCAGGCAAACACCGAGACAGTATCTTAAAATAGGCCACGACGGCTTCCTTCCAAATCCTTTCCAATTATTTTTTTTCACCATCATTTTATCATTTGACCTGCTCTTAAAGCTATCCTTGTAACAAGCTGTCGAGGCTCCCACACTTTCTGGACAATCGGCTCACAGATGGCGGTGAGGCTGTCAGCCTTACGCGCCGGCCGTCCTTTACCCCCCGGAAGATTCCTGGTACTCATTTCTGTTAGAGACTGAATAGATCCCTGAGCCATGGTGCTGTTGGAAGGATAAGGCTAACTGAAACACCAATGACCTCATCAGGAATCGGACCTGCGACCTTCCAGCTTGTAGCATAGTGCCTCAAATAACTATGTTACAGCGTACCTCCCGAAGAGAAAACTGTGTAGACCAAAAAAGGTGTTGTGAAGCATTTGAAGAGGACTATGTTGATATATTGACCTGGTAACTGGAACCGAGGTTATAAAGGAGAAGGGGCTTTGTGCCCCTCACTGCCTTTATTGACGTTCGCTTCAAAACCCTCAACTAACCAGCCGAGTCTTTTTTTTTTGTGAGCTCACAAATATCATTGGCTTCATCCTCTCACCCAAAGAGGTCACACGCCTGTATCGTGCGGTACTTCTGGTCACTATAAGCTTAACAAGGGACGTTATTAATAAATCTGACTGCTTAAAAACAAGAAGTATTAAAGTACATTTTACAAGTACTGCAGCAAATCATTCATTTCGATAATTCAAATTCTTTGTTGTATTACATAATTGTATAGCATAACATTATTTAGGAGCCGAGATACCTTAAGCCGGTCACGGTAGCCGAGTGGTCTAAGGCATGTACTGTCTTCGCTCGCTCGAAAGCCGGGATCGTCGGTTCGAATCTTACACAAGGCCTGGATGTTTGGTATGTGTTTATTCTGTGTTTGAGTTGTCCTGTGTTTAGGTAGAGGCCTTGCGACGAGCTGATCAATCGTCCAAGAAGCCCTACCGTCTGTAAAATAATCAAAACGAAAAAACAACTTTGACGCCGTAACGGTATAAGAGAAATGGATTAAGTAAATAAGTAAGATAGCTTAGTCGGTATCGCGACTAGGCTTTGGGCTGGACAGTAGATCGATTCCCGGTAGGGGCAAGAGATTTTTCTTTTCGCTATAATGTCCAGATCGCCTGTAGGGTCACCAAGCCTCATATATAATGGGTACCGGGTTCTGTTTCTCCGGGGTAAAGGGGCAGGGACGTGAAATTAACAACTCAACTCCATCTAGTGCCGAGGTCAAGAATGGTGTGGTCATATCTCCAGTCCCCCAGACGTCTTCATGACATAGTGTTTAATTAATTAAACCCAAAAATAACTTTACTTTTATAGCACAATATTATTAATGTATAATACAATTTGACGTTCTCGCGGTGGGGAATATGAAAAATAAAGTCTTATTTGACGTGGTATAACGTAAAATGATAGAGGGTTACTGACGTTTCGGAAAGACTGCCGCCTCAATTTCCCTGAAGATGGAGGTAGCGGGTTCCTCCTAAACATTCGTAACCATTTACCACAATATACAGGACGCTTCTGAATTACTGTCGGGGTTTCCGTTCATGGACCATTGAATCCCCGATAATAATTTAGAATCATCCTGTATAGCACATCCCAAAATATCTCAATATTAGCTAATGTTCAGTCCCCTCTGGGTTATTTCACGACGCTGACAATAGCTACATAGCGTCGTATGATAGAGTCACTGATAAATGATGAATTGGAAAGGCATTGAAAGGAAACAGTCGTGGCTTAAGGGAGATTCTATTCCTGGAGGGGCTGACATAAATCATGAAGTAACCTAAGTTAGAATGGCCGGTGTCCCGGCCGAGATTCGAAGCCAGCACCTCTCAAATACGCGTATAGACCGTTACCCTTCGGCCGTCCAGACAGTCGACAGTCGCCAGTCGCTATACCAACTGCGCTTTCCGGCTCTTAAAATTATAATATACAAAACTATAGTTTTTCTTGTGGTTCCGTATGGATCTCAAACTTGGTCTCTGTAATTAGGAACATAGACTGAGAGGGTCTGAGAACAGGGTGTTGAGGAGAATATTTGGACCGAAGAGGGATGAAGTGACAGGAGGTTGGAGAAAACTGCATAATGAGGAGCTTCATAACTTGTACTTCTCCAAATATAATTAGAATGATCAAGTCAAGGGGAATGAGATGGGCGTGCCATGTAGCACGAATGGAGGAGAAGAGGAGTGCATATAGGGTATTGGTTGGAAAGCTAAAAGGAAAGAGATCAGTAGGAAGACCAGGACTTAGGTGGGTCGACAATATTAAAATGAATCTTAGAGAAACAGGATGAGATGGTATGGACTAGATTGACCTGTCTGAGGATAGGGGCCAGTTGAGGGCTCTTGTGAACACGGTACTGAGCCTTCAGGTTCCATAAAAGTTCTTGACTAGCTGCATAATTGGCGGCTTCTGAAGAAAGGTTCAGCTCCATCGATGATTATCCATTCATTCGAGACTGTAAGGTCTGAACTAATGACAGTGCCATTAAATAAACTACATATAAATAAATATTGTCCCGGCTATCCAGGAGCCGGGATAGCGTAGTCGGTATAGCAACTGGCTGCGGGCTGGAACATCAAGGATTCGGCATTCGAGTCCCAGTAGGGTCAAGAATTTTCTCTTCTCCACGTCGTCCAGACCGGCTCTGAGGTCCATCCGACGTCCTATCCTGTAGGTACCGGGGGCTCTTTCCCGGGGGTAAAGCGGCATGGGCGCGAAACAGACCACTCACCTCCAACTAGTGTCGAGGTCGAGAAAATTTGGATCTATGTATCACTCCCCCATACGCCTTTATGACGTAGTGCTCAATTGGGTAAGGACAGGGACAACTTTAACTTCATCTGCTATCCTGTCTGACGCGTCTCGTAATTTTGGTCGATCCCTCTCGGCAAATTCCTGGATAATATATTAAAATTGGATATGTCCACCTCATTAGAAATATTTTTTTTTCTTGGCACTATAGCCCCAGTGGGCCTAGGCCTACCTCCGTTCACTTCGGTAGAAATATTTTACAACTCATTATTCACCAACCATCCCATTCGATTCTATATAATTTGAAATACTAATCATGCCATAAAATAAACAACAAAAAAGACATAATCCCTCATTTGAGATGAACTGGTATGCGGACAAATGTCTGATGAACAGAGTTTTTTTTTTCCCCCTGAGTGTTGAACTAAGAATTTGTTGATCCCTGGCTACATAAGTTGACGAGCTGAAGTCACTAACCCGAAACTTTCATTCACGTAACAAATGCGATCAGTATTCCAGTAAATGAGGTGGAATAGTTCAACGCATCTTAACCTGTCTGCTTCACACAGATAGCGTGAGCGGTCGCCCTAATTCTGTCTAAGTTCGGTCAATGTTGGTACCGAACAAGTTCTCCTGCTGCTACCATATTATATCTGTTACCACAGTCATTAATCACCCACAGTTCCTAGTCCACAAAACTGCAACTCCGGATGGTGCCCTTCACCTGCGCCCCTACATGTTTACCTTTTCATTTCGAAGCCATAACATTCGCACTGCATATGTAGATATGCGCAACATGTCTTCTCTCTTCTTTCCAACAGAAGTTACAATGAATATTTCATGTATCTGAATTTACTAAACAATCCTTTCCTCTTTAAGACTGTGATCTGTGGCATCATTTAATCTTGTATGTGAATATCAATGATTTGACAGCTCTGAAGATTTCTGACGATAATGCGTAGCACTCAAGATTACTAAGGTTTTGGGTTTTGTCTATCGTCCGGTATTCTAAAGAACACAACGCTTCGAAAACTAGATCTGCTTCCGTCTTCAGGTGAAAGGATGGGAGACACCTATTCTCTTGGGTCTTGCAGAAAAAGCTGAACTCTTCAATCGCCATTTCTAGTGGTCCCAACGCAGATCATAGTGGCCGCGCGGTATAATGCACAAACTGTCTTCGCTCGCTCAAACACTCTGATCGTGGGTTAGAATCCCACTTGAGGTATGAATATATGCGTTTATTCTGTTTGTGCTGTCCTGTGTGGGCAGATAGCGGCCTTGCGACGGGCTGATCCCCTGTTTAAGGTGTCCTACCGACTGCGTAAAAGACCAAGAAACTCAAGAGCGGCCAAGGCCCAACAAAGGGCTGCAGAGTCCTAGATAGAGAGAGGACCCAAAAGAGAAGGCGCCCCCATCCTTTAACCTGAGAACGAAAACAGATCCAGTTTCAGAAACTATAAGTTCTTTAGAATGCCGGGCGATTGATAAGGTTCAAACGGTCAGTAATTCCAAGCATTGGTGCACTGGTTTATTTTGCGATGCTGTCATTGTCTACATTACATAGCGACGAATGATGTATCAGAAATTATTTTGACGGAAGTCGTCGTGTTCGATAAAAGGTGAACAATTTCTTCTCCAGCAAGAAGATGAATTGCTTCTCAAGAAAGGCTGTCACATACAGTGACTCGGTTCGTTATTGTCACTTTTTTCACCAGCTATTAATTAACAAATTAAAACTTACTTCTTGCTTCCTGGTCAACAGTCTGATGAATTCTATCTTCTGG